ACACACACACACACACACACACGCACACACACACACATACACACACAATATAATATATTATACAGTCAAACCTGCTATATAACGCCGACTCAGCGGAACAATGACCTGTACAAACTGATCACCTCATTCCCTGCTCACTCTTTACGTTTTTAATTTTCATTACTATTTTTATTTTTAGGCCTATTATTCTTTTAAATCGTATGACAATGCCCAGGATGATCACCTGTCTAAGACACCTACTCTTTTCCTCAACAGTGACGGTCTCAGACAATATTATTTTGACTGTTTATTGTCAGGGCTTATGAGATAATAAAATCTTAGAACTTTATAAAACACATTTTCCCTCATATTCTAAAATACTGACTAGCCTCAATGTACAATTTACACAGCATAGCATTATCGAAATACACAGGTATTCTTTACAGAACTTTTCAAATTTTTTAAATTATTTTTTAAATATATGATATACCAATGTCATTCGCTTTTAAAGCTTTCAATGAACGGCAAACGCTGAGCAAATAAGTCCCACAAACTTGCATTTTACAGTTCTGTTCTTTGATGTTGGTTTTTTTGTGTGTTTTTTTTTCTTTTTTGTTTCGTTCTTTAAAAAAAAAATTAATTAATTTTTTTTTAAATTTGTTTTTACAACTCCATTGAACCTATCCACGCTAACAAGTATACAACATCTCCACAGAAAGACCGAGATACTCAATAAAAACTTTCCCCGAACGGGAATCGAACTGAAGTCTTCTGCGTGCAGCGCCAGGCACCTAACCGCTACACCACAGACGCCGATTACACGTTGTTTAAACTGACAAAACACAAAAGTTTTCCGCGACCTTAATATCCTTACTCAAGACTCAACGAATCAATTGACAAAAATACACTTCTCACGGGCATGGTGATATTAAAAGCACAATACAATATATACATTCGAGAAAACGAAACAAACAAAAAAGGCGATGATGTGCCGTGGGTGAGACCAAAGACTTCCCTACACGACGGTTCACTCCTCTATTTCAGATACTAAATTCTAAAACATCCTCAAAATCCGCAAAGGCAATATCAATATTACTGCGCGTTGGATGCTATTTTTTAAAAGATAGTAACATATTATCTTGTGTAAAAAGAGAAAGAATAAAGAATGTTCTTCGTTAACC